TGTTATGTCTTTTTTTTGTTTTTTAAATCATAGCCATTCTAGTAGGGGAAGGGGAAAGATGGTATCTCTTTGTGGTTTTGATTTGCATCTAATGACTAATGGGGACCCTGGTGGCACAGTAGTTAAGAGCTTAGGCTGCTAACCTAAAAGGTTGGCAGTTCAAATCCACCAGCCACTCCTCGGAAACCCTATAAGGCAGTTCCGCTCTGTCCTTTAGAGTTGCTATGAGTCAGAATCGACTCGACGGCAACGGGTTTGGTTTTTTGGTAATGACTAATGACGTTGAACTCATCTTTTCATGTGCTTGTTGGCCATTTGTATATTCTCCTTGGTAAAATGTCTATTCAGGTCCTTTGCCCATTTTTCGATTGGGTTGTTTGTCTTTTATTGTTAAGTTGTAGGGCTTTGATATTCTGGATATTAAACCCTTACCAGATATATGATTTCCAAAATTTTTCTCCCACTCTGTAGGTGGTCTGTTCCCTTTGTTAATAAAGTCCTTTGATGAACAAAAGTTTTCCCTTTATCTATTTTGTCTTTTGTTGCTCCTGCTTTTGGTGTCATATCTAAGAATTCATTGTTAAAAACTAGGCACTAAAGCAATATGCCTATGTTTTCTTCTAAGAGTTTTATGGCTTCAGTTCTCACTTTTAGGTCCTTGATCCATTTTGAATTAGTTTTTGTATATGTTGTGAGGTATGGATCTAGCTTCATACTTTTGCATGTGGAAATCCAGTGTATCCAGCACCATTTATTAAAGAGATTTTTCTTTACCCATTGAACAGTTTTAGCATTCTTGTCGAAAATCACAGGTACACACATGCACAGAGTAGTATTCTATTGTATAAATACACCACAATTATTAATTCGTCTATTGATGAACACTTGAGTTGTTTCCAGTTTTGAGTTATTACAAATAGAGCTGCTGTGAACATTTGTGTACAAGTCTTTCATTTATCTTGGGTAAATACTTTGGAGTGGAATGGCTGGGTCATATAGTAGTAGTATGCTTCACTTGTAAAGAAAGTACCAACCTGTTTTCCAAGTTGTGGTACCATTTTGCATTCCCTCCAGTAGTATATGAAAGTTCTAGCTGCTCCACATTCTTGCTAACACTTAGTGTGATCCGTTTTTTAGTTTTAGACATTCAAATAGCTATGTGGTAATATCACATTGTTGTTTTAATTTGCATTTCCTGAGTCACTGATGTTTAACATCTTTTCATTTACCATCCACATATCTTCTTTAAACGAGCCCTAGTGGTGCAAATGGTTAAGCACGTGGCAGCTAACCAAAAGGTTGGTAGTTTGAACCCACTGCGCAGCTCCATAGGAGAAAGACCTGGTGATCTGCTTCCATAGATTACAGCCAAGAAATCCCTATGGAGCAGTTTTGCCCTGTCACATGGGGTCTAGGAATCAGAATCAACTCAATGGCACACAACAACAACATATCTTCTTTGGTGAAATATCAGTTCAAATACTTTGCCCATCCTTTTTATTGGGTTGTTTTCTTACTAGTGAGTTTTGAGAGTTCTTTACATATTCTAAAGACAAGGCCTTTACTAGATATGTAACTTGCAAATATTTTCTCCCAGTGTGTAGCTTGTCTTTTCATTCTCTTAACAATGTCTCTGGATAGCAGAAATTGTTAATTTTGATAAAGTTCCGGTTATCTTTTTTTTTCTTATATGGATCATGTTTTTGATGTCAAATCTAAGAAACCTTTGCCTACCCCAAGATCATAAAGACGTACTCCAATACCTTCTTCTAGAACCATTTTGAGTTAATTTTTATAGATGGTTTAAGTTCTTCTTATTTTTTTGAGGGGGGGGCATATGGATATCCAATTATTCGAGCACCGTTTGTTGAAAAGACTATTTTTCCTCTACTTTTCACTTTTGTGGAAAATGAATTGTTTTTAAAATTAATTATTTTGATAGGAAACACATTCACATTATTTTTAAGGTACAAAAGGGTAAAGTGAAAAACCTCCCAGCCACCCAGTTTCCTTGCTCAACAATAATGTCAGTTTTTGTGATTAATTTTAGAGATATTCTATGCATATATGAGTCAAAAAGTATTGTTACAAAATCATAGAAACCTTTATTAAACAAAAATATCAAAACGTGAAGCTATTGTTTCTTGACATATCCTCCATCTAGGTCTATACACTTCTGAAGGCAGTGTTTCCATCTCTCTAACCTTTCCCAAAGAATTTTGCACTCTTCGATTTACACCATGTCAAAATAGCAGTTTTGGATTCCTCAAGGAACTTAAATCACATTCCTTTTAAATGTTGTTTGAGTTTTGGGAACAAAAATAAGCCTGAAGGGGCAAGATCAGGGCTGTAGGGTAGATGGGGTAAGGTTTCCCAAGAAAATTCTCATAGGACAGCCCTTGCTACCCTCGAAGAATGAGCAGGTGCATTGTCATGATGGAAAAAAATTCCTTGGTGCAACTTTCCTGGCATTTTTTCTCACCAACACAGTTTTCAGTTTTCTTAAAACTTCTTTATAATAAGCCCCTGTAATCATCCTGTGTCCTTTGAGAAAATCTATCAAGATTACCCCTTTGGAATCCCAAAAAACATTCGCCATAACCTTCTAAGTGGTCTTCCCTCTCTTGGCTCATTTTTGAGGTCTTCCTGACCTTTTTAAAAAAGCTTGATCCATCTAAAACTGTTGTTTTATGAGGGACAGCACTCCCATAAACTTGTTGCAAAGCTTCAATGATTTAGGAAGATGTCTACATGAGTTTTGTTAAAAATTTGATATTAGCCCAGACCTCAAAATCTTTTTTTTTCCCATGGCACAAAAAGTATCCTTTTTTTTGAAACCACTCTAATGAGACCAAGACAAGTGTATTACTGAGAGAACTTGTTTGCAGCCGTCCACTGATCGTAAAGACATGTTTTAATATGTTTTGTTTGGAATAAACTCATGCATGTATGAACTGGAACTTTAGTAGCAATACTTTTTGACTTAACCTCGTACAAGTGAATATATATGTATATATTCTTTACATATCCCTTTTGCATACAAATATAACTTACTGTATATATTCTTCTGAACCTTGATTTTTTTTAAACCTAATAATATATATATCTTTAAGCAATATTCCAAACTATGGTTACCCTATTATTTGTTTAGCCAGTCTCTTAGTGATGGAATTTTTGTTGGTTCCAGTCTTTTGCTATTAAGAAAAAATAGTGCAATAAGTAACCTTGTACAGAATAGTACAAAGGATGTCAACTTATAGGTTATGATAACCTACTGGATTTTGTCCCAGAAAAGCACAAAAGGAAGAACATAGTTTTTAAAATTTTACCAGTGTTTACAAATAAAATATGAAAATGCCACTAGTAAAAACGTTTACAGAAAAGAGCTAAATAGTAGTCAACTCTAGAAGACAAACTATAGTATTCTGTGTTTTTAAATATTGAGTAAATATGGATGCTCTAATAAGTTTTCTTTGGAAAATATTTTCCAGTGTTCAAGTTCTTGTGGCTTCTATTAGTGTTCTTGAGCTTCTATTATAAAATCAATCTTCATCCAAACATTTTAGCTCTAGTGTTAAGATTAGGTAGAAATTTTGAATTTCTAAGAAATCAAAATTAAGATTTCATAAAATCTCAATGGTTACTGTTTAGCTAAATCTGATTTTTTATATGCAAAACAAAAATTAATTATGCAAAAGCCAAAACAATGGTTTTGATCTCCATTGTCATTTTTTCCTATCTGGGAAGAACCTAATTTATTTGTTGTTACTCATACCTCCAAGTATTATCTTTTTACTACTTTTATTCAATCTTGTATAAATCTGAAATTTCTTTAAGATAGAATTTGTGGTCTTCACTTACCAAATCTCGTTTAGGAAAATGAGGCGATCCATCTCTTACAACTGGTCTTGAGGCAAGAATATCTATTTTGCCTTCCAGTCTTCCCTCCATAGTTTTAATAGCATTCAAAAGAGTCTTCAGGGAGATTCTAGAGTCTCCAATCTCCTGAGATTTCACTGAAGGCAGGGTAGGTGCAAAGCTCACCCGGCGTGTAGAGTTTGAAATAACACTGGGTAAACCATCTGATGAAGTTCTTTCCTTTACAGTATTTACATGGGGCCTAGGACTTTCAAGGAGTTTAGAAGACACAGGCCTCTCTGGAGATTTCTTTTTTCTTGGAGGCATCACCATTAAAAGGAATAAAATCAACTAAACCTAGAGTTATTTTTCAAGAAGTGCTCACTTTACTAGGAGAAACAACACAGACAACGCTGAATAAAGTGCCAATGGAAAATATATTTGAAAACGTGTTCCTTTGCTTTCAAAATGAAGAAATCATACTGTAAACTGTGTCCTACTGAAGAAACAGACCTTAAACTAAACTCCCTGTAGGAGAGCGTATCTAATGGTGCCTCCTTTACCAACTTTGTGACCTCATCACTCATCAGTATAATCAGGTGGTTAGAACCCTAAGAGTATTCCACTTGAAGACACATTCTAGTTCTTGGTTACCAGCTGCCGTCGTGTCAACTTCAACTCATGCAACCCTGTGTGTGTCAGAACAGAACTGTGCTCCATAGGTTTTCAATGGCTGATTTTTCAGACTTAGGTCACCAGGCCTTTCTTCCAAGGAACCTCTGGGTGGACTCAAATCTCTAATGTTTCCATTAGCAGCCCAGTGCATTAACCATTTGCACAACCTGGGGACTCCTTTCCTTGGTTACCAGGGGTATTTATATACATGTATCTTTTAGACACAAAGGTTACACATGCTTATACTAAGAGTTAAAGTTTAAAAAAAAATCCAATTACATACATGGTACATTCGTAATTATTGAAATAAATTTCTTTTGGTTATACATTACTGAATTATTTTCTTCACTAAATGCCTTGTTTGTCTAATCTCTTTTTATTTGTTTTTAAAATGCTATGTGACCTACAAAAGGATATCGGCTTCAGTAGCCACCAAGCTGACAAGTAAGCACCTTCACTACTAATACCTCTTTCAAATGATCTTCTGTCTGTTGCAGGTATACCTTGTTGGCACTGAGTTCTGAGTTTACCTATAATTTAATAAAAAAAAAAGTTTCTTACATCTGCCAACAAATTTTCAAGGCTCAATTCAATGAACCACTTTCCCTATGAAAGTATTTCTTGATGCTCACAATTATAATTAATCACACTCTCTATGAAAGCTCATAATACAATTTTTTTTTTTTGAGAGGCCTAACTTTCTACTCTGTAATAAAGTTGCTTGAGTATATTCTTTTTTGACCAAAGCAAAGTCATAGATGCTTGAGTATATTCTTAACTCTCCAATTAAACATAAGCAAGTTAGACATCCCAATCCTGCTTTGGGCACCTTTATGAATTCCTCTATGGTCTAGCAGAACCTTATATAGAGTAAGTGTTTTTTAAAATGTTTGCTGAATTGAAATGTGTTAAAAGAGAGAATATTCAACTTGTTGGGATTGGATGGTAGGAGGTAAAGAATTTAACTTCACCCAAAGAATTTGATCTTTGTCTTTGGTTCTTGGGAGATAACTCTAAAACCTTGGAATTTCCCCCGTGTCTTGATGAGTCCTCCAGACCACACCTGAGGGGCTGGCCAGGCCAGAAAGACCACCACTTGATATTAGCCAAGCTGGGGGCGGGGGGGTGGGTAAGATTCAATCAATCATGCTACATAATGAAGCCCAATAAAGACTCTGGACACGGAAGCTCCATAGGCTTCCTGGTTGGTGAAAGACATTAATGCATGTGGGAGGGTAGCAAGTCCCTTTCTGGGACATGGAAGTTCCGCATTGGGAAGCCCCTCAGATCTTGTCCTATTTGTTTCTTCATTTGTATTCTTTTTGCTATAATAAAACTGTAATCGTACATATAGCGCTTTCCTGAGTTCTGTGAGTCATTCTAGTGAATTATTGAACCCGAAGGAGTAATAGGAGCCAGCTGGTTAGAAGTGGGGGCTCTGGAGACCTGAGTTTATGGCTGGCATCCTGAAGGGGTAGTGGGAAACCTTTGAATTTGTAGACAGCAGATAGAGGTGAGGGTGTCATGGGGACTCCCAAACTTGTGGCTGGCGTGAGGTCTTGGGTAGACTTGGCAGTCTGGAGGACTGTGCCCTTTAACTCGTGAGGTCTGACCTAGCTCCAGTGGTTAGGGTCAGAGGCAGAAGTGCTGCATGTGCAGCTGGTGTTAGAACAGAGTCAAACTGATTTGATTGATACTTACAGTTTGGTGTCAGAGAACTGGGGTTTTGAGTTTTCTACGTAGATGGTAAGGTGGGGAGAAAGGAGTCAGCTTCTTAAAAACTAATTAAAACAATATAGTGGCCATCTGCTTTGGTAGATATTAATCACACCTGAGCATATTTCGTCTCTAGAGCCTTATTCATCTTGCGTAGATGGTCATTCTGTAACCTGGTGTCAGTAAGGCAATGTAGTTGTTCCTCTAGCTGTTTAACTTTTGCCTAGGTGAAAAACAGAAAAATAATATAATAAGCCTCATTAATGAAAGCCCCATGCAGCACACTTGCACTCTGACACACATGGGGTCGCCATGAATCAGAACTGACTCAACAGCAACTGATAAATGGTATGTAATATTATTTTGTATACTCTAGTGCATCTATTTAATATACCCACTTATACTGCTGGTAGGATTTTAAATTGGTATAACCACTTTTAAAGATAAATTTGACAAAAATCTCATAAAATGTATAAGATGCTTACATCCTAAAACCCAGTTATTCTGCACCTATGAATTATATATAGCCTAAGAGAATCTTTTACATCTGAGTACAAGGAGACATATATAAGAATTCATCATAGCAGCATTGTTTGTAATTTTCTAAGCAACTGGAAACTACCTCAATATCCATCAACAGAATAATGGATAAATAAATTATGGCATATGTGATGGTTACGGTTGTGCATCAGTTTGGCTGGGCCATGATTCTCAGTGGTTTGGCAGTTATGTAATGACATAACCTTCTGCTGTATGGATCCCGCATGGACAAAAACTGCAGGCAGCAAAAGAATAATATCATGTTCATCCAGGTCTATCCTATTGCCTCTAGGTTCCAATTTCCCAGGTTATTTCTTTTTAAAAATGTTATAAAAATTCAGCAAAAAAGACAGAATAGGCTCTCTACGTTCTCAGTGAATGACCGAACATAAGATAAATTACAATAAAGCTTCAAATAGTCACAGAATAGGTTATGGCTTCACAAGTTCAGGCTTCATCATTATATTATAGGTATTTGAATAGATGTCACCTGGATTTTAATGAGGCAATGAACTTAGCCAGGTTCAAAGACTTCGCTAAAGTTGGCAGTTATGTAATGACGTAGTTTGCAAGTTATGTAATGATGTAGTCACCCTCCATGATGTGATCTGATGTGATCATCAATCAGTTGGGAGTTTCCTCAGGGTTGTGGCCTGCATCCAATATATATATATATGGACATTCTGGCAAAGCTTGCTAACTTGTTCTGAATCTTACATCCAGCTCATCATCATCTGACCTCCAGTTCTTGGAACTTGAGCCAGCAGCCTGCTGTACTGCCCACCGATCTTGGGTTTGTCGGCTTCCGCAGCCTGTGAGCCAGCAGCCTGCCATCTGACTCGCCGATCTTGGGTTTGTCAGCCCCTGCTGCTAGGTGATTAAGGAGAAGCCTCCAGCCTGATGCCTGACCCATGGACTTGGCACTTGCCAGCCTCTACAACTGTGTGAGCCATTTCCTTGAGATAAATCTCTCTATATATGTATATGTGTATATATATATATATATATACACATACACATATATGTATATGCTTCACTGCTTCTGCTTCTCTAAAGAACGCAGCCTAAGGCAGTATATTTATATAATAGAATACTATGTTGTTGTTGTTGTGTGTCATTGAATCGATTCTGACTCATAGCGACCCTACAGGACAAGATAACTGTGCCATAGGGTTTCCAAGGCTTTGGGTTAGCAGCCGAGGGCTTAACCACTGCACCACCAGGGCTCCTTAATGCAATATTATGCAACACTGAAAATAAAATGTAGGACAGCAGTTTCTGGCATGGCCAGTTTAAAATAATACCTAAAATCCAGTATTTATATCATTAACAAGTCAACTCTGAAAACACACTCTTTTATGATTCATAACTAATATTTTTAATACATTATAATCCAATTGAGAGAGAACACACAGCACATTATTGTTTTGGTTATGTTTTAGTATGCACCTCTTCCTTTAAATTCTCTTGCAAGAGGCCCCATGGACACATCCAAACTCCCCGAGGGACTGAGTTGCTGGACGGAGGGCTCTGGGGACCATGGTCTCGGGGAACATCTAGCTCAATTGGCATGACACTACATATAAAGATAATGCTCTACATTCTACCTTGGTGAGTAGTGTCTGGGGTCTTAAAAGCCTGTGAGCGGCCATCTAAGATACTCCACTGGTCTCATCTCTTCAGGAGCAAGTGAGAATGAAGAGAACAGGATACAACGAAAAGATTAGTCCAAAGGACTAATTGTCCACAGCTACCAAGACCTTCACCGGACTGAGTCCAGTACAGCTAGATGGTGCCCGGCTACCACCGCTGACTGCTCTGACCAGGATCACAACAGAGGGTTCTGGGCAGAGCTGGAGAAGGATGTAGAGCATAATTCTAACTCACAAAAAAAAAAAAAGACCAGATTTTCTGGCCTAAAGGAGACTGGAGAAACCCTGAGAGTATGGCCCCCAGACCCCCTTTTAGCTCAGTGGTAAAGTTACCTTCAAGGTTCACTGATCAGCCTGAGAGTGGACAGCCCAGTAAAACCATGAGAGTAACGAGGTACAGGAGTCCAGTGACAAGGCCCAGAAGGCAGAAGGGGAGTAGGAAGCTGATGATAGGGAACACAAAGTAGAGTAAGGATATTGTTGATGTGTTGTGAGATTGTTATCCATTGTCATAGGGCAACAATTGTAGTAACTGCTAAATGGGAGACTATTTTGTCCTGTAAGCCTTCATCTTAAGTGAGAATAACAGCACAATTAGAAGAGTGTAGTCAATGTCACTTAAATGTGTATGTAAAAAAAAAATTTTTGAAATGGCGTATCTTTGGCTATGTGTATTTTCACAAAAGGAAAAAAAAAAAGTTGAGAATTTAGAGGGTTAAAATGTTGTGGGGTTGTTAACCAATGTCATAAAACAGCATGTGTGTTACTGTTACATGAGAAACTATCTGTTCTGTAAGCCTTCACCTGAAGTACAATAAAATATTTAAAAAAAAAAAAAAAAAAAGAGTTATGTGCTGTAAGAGCAATTTCCTGAGGGCTGATTAAGTCAGTGCCTTGGAATGTTCCAGTCCAAGGAATGACATAAAGGACAAGTAAATCAATAGTTTCAAAAGTGTTTCAGCTTTCAAAGACTATCAGAAATCTGAAGCCCTTATTATACGATTATAGGCAGAAAAAAAAAGGCATGTATTTTCAAGATTACATAGAATACCTCTCTAAGCTTATGTACTGTAGGTCTGAAAGGTCAGATGGATAACATCAGACCAATTCATAAATTTTAAAATGTATTCCATTCCCAGCCAAAATTTGGCTTTAAGTGTGCTATGAGGGTTTGGGATTTTCTTTTATATTTAAAAATATACTTCATTTCTCTTGGAAAAGCTAAAAGAAGGTCAAAATCATGAGCCATAGCTTTTTATGGGGTCATTAGTTTCACAAAGGAGTTAATTCTTCCTGTGATAATCTGTACATCCAGCCTGTAATGTTGACTATCTTTCCCAGTAAGAGCAAGATAAAAGAGGTGTGCCTAACACCCTCATCTTACAGGTGAGTAAGTTGAAACCCAAGAAAATTAAGACTTATCCAAGGTTACATGAGTGTTGATGATTATACTTAAATGCACCACTGCCTCTGGAGAATATTAATTAAAAGCACAGCAATAGTGGACAAATAGCTTTATCTTTTTATTGGACTAGTAATATACTATTTCACAAACATGATCTATCAACTACCCTTCAGATGGCCTTCTGCTTCTGGGCCCGATCTTGCATGTAACCCCTTGAGCAGATGAGGATGAGGTTAATGCTGATGTGTCTGGCACGGCCTCTATTCAACTTACTTATCAAATCAGCTCTATAGTTAAGCTTAACTGGGATTCACTTCATATTCATTAGTCCAGCGGTCCTCAACTGTGGTTGCATATTGCAATCATCTGAGGGGCTTTAAAAAATATTGAAGTCTGAAACCTACTCTCTGAGATTCTATTTAATAGCTCTCGGGTGCAGCCCGGTCATGGGAATTTTCAACCTATATTTTATGATGAAAGATTTTAAACATACAGAAAAGTTAAAAGAATTTTACTGTGAAAATGCACATACCCATCACCTAAATGCTACCATTTTAAATTTTCTATTCTTACTTTATCGCATCTCTATTGTTCACTCTATCTCCATCCATCAATCTAACTTTTTCTTTCTTTTTTTTTAAAGATGCATTTCAAAGTAACTGGCAGACATCATACATTTCCCAGCATGGGGATTTTAAAAAACTCCCCAGGTGATTCTAAAGTGCAGCCAAGGCTGAGACCCACTGATTTGGACTTCAGTATTTCCACTGGAGTTGGTTTAAGGCAGGGCTTCTAACCAGTTCATTCCAGTTTGAACCCCAGCTGAGAATTTGCATTTCCACCCTAGATATACTGAATCAGAATCTACAGTTTAACAAGATCCCCAGGTGACACTTATGGGTGGAAATGCAAATTCTCAGCAGGGTTCATACTGGAATGAACCAGTTCAACGCCCTGGTTTAAGGCAGGCCTACCCATACAAGTGGCAGGCAGTATGACTGCATCTAAACCTAACCTTCTGCTGTATGGATCCCGCATGGACAAAAACTGCAGGCAGCAAAAGAATAATATCATGTTCATCCAGGTCTATCCTATTGCCTCTAGGTTCCAATTTCCCAGGTTATTTCTTTTTAAAAATGTTATAAAAATTCAGCAAAAAAGACAGAATAGGCTCTCTACGTTCTCAGTGAATGACCGAACATAAGATAAATTACAATAAAGCTTCAAATAGTCACAGAATAGGTTATGGCTTCACAAGTTCAGGCTTCATCATTATATTATAGGTATTTGAATAGATGTCACCTGGATTTTAATGAGGCAATGAACTTAGCCAGGTTCAAAGACTTCGCTAAAGTTATGGAATCAGTACATGACAGAGCTAGGTCTTCTCAAAATCTAGCAATATTTAGCTTGACAACTGGTATTAAAAAACCAACCAACCAACCAACCAACTAGACAATAAAAATCAGAAAATAAAAGCTCATACCTGGAGTTTTCCCTTTTCATAGGCCAGTTTACTTTTACTATTAGCAATTTTTCCCAAGGCCTTTTCCACCTGCTGCTGGGCAAGCTGCTAAAGCAAACACAAGTATCAGTACCTCTAGGCATAGAACGGAATAACTATTTTCTTTTTTAAATTTATACCTTTACCATTTCTATAGTAACATAGCCAAGATTCATATTTATTTGTTACTGCTGCCTCTTAGTTTTTTGCGACTAGCTTATAACAGTGCCAATATGCAATAGCTGGGGAGACCGCTAACGAAAGTATGAGTGCCTTACGAGTCCTACAGCTTGTTGTTCTTCGTATATTAACTCTTTTTTTTTGTTGTTCTTATTTTGTTTTGTTATGTCAGTTATTCCTTTGTAGTTGCAATCCAACCCATATGTGGGTTGGTTTGTCAGCGAACATGTATACAGCTTGTGGAGCATTATACAGTTCTTTAAGAAAACGGTCATGATCTCACAGACAGTAGGAAACACATCAGTTACTGTACTAAAATGCATTAAGAAAAAAAAATACCTCTCAAAAAACAGAAGAAACTGTTTTTGGGACTCAAACTCATTGCTTCATCAAACACTCAACACAATGTTATCTGGGACAAGAATTACTGAAGATTCTATATTTCATGGAATTACATATTTTCATCATTCAAAAAGCCTTTAATAATTACATTAATTTTTTTCATTGTCTTTTTTTCTCAGACTTTGTTGAGGAAATGAGTATAAAACATAGTTTTCTTTTGGTTAAATTTTGGGCCTAAAAATATTTATTATCAGGGACACTTAGTAATTGAATATGGAAACTTTCACCCTCTATAATAAATTTCACCTTCACAAACCAGGGTTTTGAACCAGTTTGTTATGATTTGAACCCCTGCTAAGAATGTGCATTTCTAACAAGTTCCCAGGTGATGCTAATACTGGTTGGGGACCAGTTCTGAGAATCACTAGTAGAGCAATGGTTCTCAAAATCTATTATACATAAGAATAACCTAGGAATCTTATTAAAATGTAGATTCTAACTCAGTATATCTGGGTTGGGAATGCAAATTTGAAATGGAACAAACAGGTTTGAAGCACTGTCACAAACCAAGTGTGATGACAATAAACACACAGCAAATGTGATTGAGAACATGAACTCTTAATCATTCATCAGCCAACAAACTGCACTATGAATCATTTGCAATAAATCTTGATATCAAAGTTTTATTAATGCTGATAAATGTCCTATATTAACATAATTCACTATTTCTGGCTTACATTTGCTTAATCTGTGAATAACAGAACAGGAGGCCTTTTTAAAATTTAACAAACGTTAGCTATTTGCTACATGCTTTACATATATTAACTTATTTAACTTTAAAATTTCCTAATAATAGTATTATTATCCCCATTTTGAAGATTAGGAAACTGAGGCCCAGAGAAATTAAGGATCATACCCAAGGTCACAGTCAGAATTGAAACCCAGGCACACTGGTTCTCCAAATCCAAAACCAAAACCAAACCCATTGCCATTGAGTTAATTCTGACTCATAGCGACCCTATCAGATAGTGTAGAGCCACCCCATAGGGTTTCCAAGGCTGTAATCTTTACTGAAGTAGACTGCCACATCTTTCTCTCCAGGAACAGCTGGTAGGTTCGAACCACCAACCTTTCCGTTAGCCGCTGAGCACTTAACCAGTGCACTATCAGGGCTCCTAGACTGGTTCCAGAGCCATGGAAACCTAAGTCTCTATAATTTTTCATAGTTGAAGTAATGAGCAGTTTATATAATAGGGCTTGAAAGAATTTAGCTGAGATTAAGTCAGACTCAGATCAGGGCCTTCTATGCAATTTTCAAACATTATTTGCATTTTGTAGAAGGAAAAACCTGATTCTTTTTCAAGTTTTCAAAAGCACACAGGAAACCTAACTGCTAAACAGAACAATCATCACTTTAAATCCCCTTCTTGTGTATAAGATATTTAAGAATTCTGTCATTCATTTGTATTGTATTGACTTTGTCAAATACTTTTTTAGACATTAGACTTCAGTTACCAACTTCCTGATGGAGGGAACTGTCTGAGAAGGAAAAAAATATGTTTATTCTTCATAATTATGGAAGAGAAATATTTATATACATTAGAAATATTTGTGCTTTTCAGCATTACAGATCATCTGTGTATGCAGATATTTAATTCTACCTTAAATTCTTGTTTTCTTAAATGCCTTCTTTGAATACTGTAGGTATCTCTGCTGTTTAGCCTCAGTGAGTCAAGACTTATAGTACATATTTTAAAATAAACAAAGAAACCCCACCTCCTGACTTCTAATTTTTTTTTGCTCATTATTTACTAATTCTTATTTAGACTGACCTTTTTATACCCACCCCATGGTAATCAGAAGTGACTCGCTGATGTTCTAGGGAAGCAATTTGATCTGACAGGTGCTTATTCTCTTCCTCTAGAGTCTGCATATTATGGGTTAATGCATTTATGTCAATCTTTGAAAACAAAAGGAGAAAAGAAATAATTTATGCCAGACCTCAAAACAATCTTATTCTAAAAATAACAATTATAATTGTAAAAGGGAAGGTATCTTATGCACATGTTCTTCTACCTCTAAATGTGGGGATTTGACCAGTCTGATATGGCAAGTAATTAAATTAATCTATACAAGCAAGACAGAGTTTGGTTTAGTGTAACCTTTCTTGCTCACAAAATGTATCAAAAACAACTCAAATATTGTTCTCACAGTAAGTGCTCAGATGGCTGACTAAATGAAAATAGTTCAAGTTAAGGCCCCTTAGAAATGTTGTGTCTTGCTTTATTTTGCTTTCATTCTCAAAGCATGTTTTTTCTGGGTATAGAATTCTAGGTTGACGGTTATTTTCTTTCAGCATATTTTAGATGTCATTTCACTTTTTATGACCTCCATTATTGTTGTTGATAAGTCCTGTTACTCTAAATGTTATTCCTTTGAAGGAAATATGTCTTTTATCTCTGGCTGCTTTCAAGAGTTTTGCTTTGTCTTTGGTTTTCTGCAGCTTTTCCTATGATGTGTCCATCTGTAGATTCCTTTTTAACTATCCTGCTTCAGATTCATTGTTTATTCTGGATAGCTTCTTCATACGTATTTTCTAATTAACTTGTTATCTTTTTAGCTGTGGCAAACAGGCTGGCATTGAGTTCTTAAATTTTGGTTATATTTTTCATTCTAGTATTTCTTTTTGATTTTTTTTCAAATTGGAAATACCACTTTTTATATATTTTAGTTCCCTCCAAAATATTTGCTATAATCTCTCTGAACATAGTAAATATTTTTTTTTTTTTTACAGTTTGTATCTGATAATTCCAATAGACAGGGTCACTATAAATAGAGGTCACCAATATATGGAGACCTATGTGTTTGGTTTTATTGTTAGCTGCTGGTTCTCTTGCTCATGGTGTCTTGTCTCTCAAGGTACTTGGTTATTGTATGCTGGAAATTGATTTTGAAAATTATTTGCAGAAACGATGTCATACTCAGAATAAAGTTATGGTACTTCAGAAAGGACTTTCATTTGCTTCTGTCAAGTACCTCGGTACACTAGCCATCCAGGATCACCTTATTCCAACTTGAAGACATGAAATTTTATGGCCCATAAACTGGGTGGCAGTCTATACAAGGAGTTTTCTTCTGGTTTAATCTTACTCCTAAGAATTTGGCCCTTCAGCCTAAAAAATCCCAGCCTAAAAGTGTGGAGTAATTTACTGAGGTCCCCACCCTTGGTTAGGCCTAAACTGAATTTCTTCTCTCTAGCCTTGCAAAGCAACCAAAAGCCTAGCTCTGTGTTTTCTTCCTCAGATAAGCAAATGCTACAGTATAAAAGCGACTGAATGTCCCAGTCCTCTCCCAGATCTTGGCTTGATAATGTCTCACTATCTTAATAACTCTATCATGCTTTTAAAATTGTTTATTCTATTCTTTTACATTTTTTCACCTCTTCTAGCTGTCTTCAGAAAGAAGGTTGTTACAAATTGTATAATAGTTCATCTTTACTAGAACTAGAAGTCTTCCTGGTACTTAGTTTATTTCAAATATTAATTCAGGCTCATAAACATAGATGTAAAAATTTTCCACAAAATATTATCAAAATGAATACAGCAATACATAAAATGGATAACATATCATGAGTAAGTGGCATTTATCCTGGTGTTTAGAATTAAATTGTGTCCTCCCAAAATATGTGTTATAAATCCTAACCCCTATACCTGTGGATATAATCCCATTTTGTTTGTTATGTTAATGAGGCCATTATCAGCAGAAGGTATGTCTTAAGCCAATCACTTTTGAGATATAAAAGAGCAGATTAGCCACAGAAGAAAGCAGACACAGAGGAAAGACTGACACTATCTAAAGACTACCCGACCAAAACCCGTTACTGTTGAGTCAATTCTAACTCATAGTGATCCTATAGGACAAAGTACAACTGCCCCATAGGGTTTCCAAGGAGCAGCTAGTGGGCTAGCCAACCTTTTGGTTATCATATGAGCTCTTAAGCACTACACCACCAGGGCTCCCTGAAGACTACAGAGGTAGATCAATCTATAAGCCCAGGAACTCCAAGGATGGTTGGCTAGAGAAGCTGAAACATGAATTTTCCCCAGAGCCAACAGAAAGGCTTCCTCTAGAGCCAGTGCTCAGAATTCAGATTTCTAGGCTAAACTGTGAGAAAATAAATTTCAGTACATTACTTGTGGTATTTCTGTTATAGCAGTGCTAAGAAACTAAGACACCCTTGAGCATTGCTGTTGGAGTGTAAAATGGCACAGCCACTGTAGAAAACAATTTGGCAGTTCCTCAATCAGTTAAGCATAGAATGTACTATATGACCTATCAATTCTACTCCTTGGTATATACTCAAAAAACTGAAAACGAGTGTTCAAACAATTTTTTTAAAAATCATAGCTTTACAAAGAATACATGTTTAAAAATATAAAAAACTTATACACAAATGTTCACAATTGCTAAAAAGTGGAAACAACTCAAATGATGATGGATGAATAAACAAAGTGTGGAATATCCATACAATGAAATATTATCCAGCCATAAAAAGGAATGAAGTAGTGATACAAGCTATGACATGGATGAACCTTGGAAACATTATAAGTGAAAGAAGTCAGGCACAAAAGGCCACATACTGTGTGATCCTATTTACATGAAATATCCAGAACAGGCAAATCCATAGAGACAGAAATCAGAACAATAGTTGCCAGGAAGTGGGGTAGAAGGGAATGGAGAGTTTAATGAGTATGAGGTTTCGGGGTTCTGATACACCCTTTTGGGGTGATGAAAGTTCTGGAACTAGATAATGGTGATGGATGCACAACATTGTGAATGTACTTACTGCCACTGAATTGTACACTAAAAAATGGTCACTTTTATGTCATGTGTATTTTGCCACAATTAAAAAAAAAATAGCTTCATGAAGAATGCATATTAAAAAATAACAATTTATGCATAAAAATATGGAACTTTGTATAAGCATTATTATTTGGCTTAATAATGAGCAAGTATCTTTTAGTCCTATGGACTTATACTTAGCCTACATTAAGGCAAATAAAATCGGACAAGCAAAATAATAATGCTATTATCTCAGATATATTCACAGCATTTGCCTTAACCATGTAACATTCACTAACTTTTTAAAGCAAAAAGTATTAATAAATCTAATAGTAGCTACCAATTTTCTAAATTTTGAAAAGTATATTTGAGGCCGAGTTGATACCAGCAAAGTCCTTGCCACAGGTAGCTTCATTCAAGGCTTTTTAAGATAGGCTGTTTTCATATCCCTTGAAGTAGATATTTACAAATAAGAGATTAAACCAGAGGAAGCACCTGCCAGCTTGGTGGGAATGATATTTGAGCTCGAGCTCAGAACTTAGCTTTTCTTCTCTCCCTAGTCCTTAAATTAAAAGTTCACATATATATGGTAGTATGAATGTTATTTAACATTACCAGAAGCCATGAAACAGTCCAGGCTTGGTGACTGTATCGAACACCTGTTGCTGGATTTATGGTCTGGGGTAGGTTAATACTACTTGATGCTCCAGATATATTCTCTGATGACAGTGATATGTAATTTTTACTGTCTTCAAATGTTAAAATACAAGCACCAGTATTTTAAAGATTTTTTTTTTTTTTTATTTTAATAAGGATTTTATTGTTTCTCTGGCCCTTCTATCTTTTCAGAATCCAGAAATGGGTAGTAGATTACAACGGCAGATGCTAATAGATACTTAGGAACTCTAAGTTAGTTTTTTTAATGCATAGACAGCAGTCATGCCTTTGCCTCTCACAGGTCCATTAGCTGACTCTCAGGGGATTTCATGGCTAAAATACTAGGAACACTAGGGCCCGAGGCAGTGATGACTCACTGGCAAACACCAGATGCTCAGATAAGCAAACCGTTCCCCAGATGCAACTTCATGTCTCGGTGACTGGAGTGCTCTTAGTTGCGTCTAGCTTCATGGCTTCTTTCCCCTGCATCTTGGTATTCAACAAAACAACCTTATCTCCTCATTAAGATAATCTAATCAGTACGTCACAGCACAGAAGGAAATGAAATATAGTGAAGCATCAACAAACAAAATGTGGAATACCTTGCTTTTAGCTAATTCCATTTCCAAATTGGATTTTTCTTGTGCTATTTCTTTCTCTGTTTTCTTAACCTGCCCAAGGAAAGAAAAAAAAAAAAAAAAGAAAAGAAAAGAAATGGGTCAATTTTAAAGCAGTTGACAGGCTCTACTAGAGTAGACACATCCTGCATGTCAATTAATACCTACACTGCAGAGATAGCACATCCTCTCAGAAAAAGGGCCAATCAATCAGGGAGTCTCTGAGGCAGAGCAGACTTCACAAATACCCCTGAAATTAGAAAGACACGTCTGCATGTCAGACTCTGCTGGTTCCTTCCTAAGTAGGAAGACAGGGCTGTTCTTCCCTCACCCCCATTATTCCACTCCTTCAGGAGAAATCAATTTTTGAAATCTGACCCTTTAACTAATATGAGGATGTGTGAGTGGTAAGTTAATACTCACTAATGCTGTATATAAGGGCATACTGTACTACTTGGCACAGATTACTTCACATGCTAAAAGATACAGATAGCCACCTCAGGGTTTCTTTAATGGGCAACTCAGACAAACTGCATCTGGGTTTTATTTCTTCTCTTGTCTTTTGGACTTAGTGTACAATTTTAAAACAATATCCTCACTACAACCAGGAGGTAACGTAAATCTGCTTCTACCTACCTCTCTCTGAAGTCTTTCTTTCTCCTCTAGCAGAGACTTCTTCTCTTGCACTGATGCTTCCAGTTCACCTCGCAATCTTGCAATAGTTGATTCCAGCAGCTCTTTGTGCACAGCTGCCCTTTTCTCAGCAGCCTCTGCTTTCTGGATACATTGGTTATGCTCATGGATTAAATGGTCCCTGCAGGAAGAGAACAAGGAGATATGAAAGCTAGCGAGAGTTCTACTTTAACAGAAAGACTGACTAAATGTTCTTACAGAACATATATATACTGCCTGAGAGCAGTTACCAAAATGTTCTAACAAAACAAGTTCCTTGAGGGTGGAGTCTTAATCTATTTTATCTTCTTGGCTGGCCCAGTAAATGCAGAATTAAACTTCTTCATTAGGGATAAGAAAAACAAATGCAAGAACAAAAGATACATAAGAAGTTGCTCAGAATTTACTTACAGATGTGCCTGGAGTTGGGTTCTCTCCTTCTGAACAGTCTGTAGTTCACTGGTAATACTGGCATGGGCAGCATCCAGCAATAAATTTTGTTCTTGAAATGTTTGCGTCATCATTTTCTGTCCTTCCTGAGTGTTAAGAATAATATTAAAAGCTGAGATGTCAGAAAGTCATTTGATAGGGTGTCATTAAGAATAATAAAAGACAAGCTGGTAAAATTCTCATATAAATAGAACCTCTTTTTAAAAGAATTCATTTTAATGCCCTGTTTTCTCTCTGTCCCTACCCTGAGTTGACCAGAATTCTATCATTTTATAGCTCTCCTAGCCAACAGTCAAGCTGCATTATTTACCCAGCTTGCTGCAAAATTTATAATACTCCTAATACCAACATATTTTTAAAGGTATAAAATATAGTAAGGATATTTTTGGGATTTTAAAATTTCAATATAACATACATCTTATTTTTAAAAGTAAAACCACATAAATGTATATAAGTATAAAGTGAAAAGATCCTTCCACCTCCATCTCCCAGTCTGCCTTCCAAATAATTCCAGTGTCCAGGAATAATCATGTTGAATAGCTTGATGTGAATTCTTTTAAGAATATTTCAAACTGCACTCAGATACTGTTACAGCAGGAGTATTGTAAACAGAATTTATTTTTTCTGGCTTACCATTTTGGAATTATCAAAACACAACATTTTTATACATACGTCTGTATAAATACATACGTTTTATACATTTTATACATACGTCTGTGTATATACCTGTACTCCATAAAGTTTTTGCACATACGGTACATATTAACAATTGCTTGTGTAAACATATTTTAAAACATTCCTATTTTAACATTATTTGATTCAAAGCAAACCTTCACACTTGGTAAGATGGGATCCCATTTATGTTATATTCTAAAATTTTAAAAAGTTTGTGACAGTGCTACATATGTCACGTTATTCAATCCACTAAATAAGCTCCATGAAAGTAGGGATTTTGCTTGTTCTCCACAGCAAACCTATCTAGATCTAGTATCATACCTGCACAGAGTAAACACTAAATGTTTGTTGAATAAATGAAGACTATTTATTGAGTTCCTGTCATATATGAAACATGCTTAGCACTATGGAGAATAACAGAAAGATAATTAAGACAATGTCTTTGTTTCTAGGAAGCTCACAATGTTATACAAGAAATGAGCCATGCATATAAATTACTACAATAAAATGAAGAACCAGGGGGTGGGGGGTGGGGGGCAGCATAAAATAATGGTTAAAAAATTGACTCTGGAACCAACCTAGGTTTAAATCCACTTTTGCTCCTTACTAGCTGAACAAGTTTGGGCAAGTTAATTTATCTAAGCCTCATTTTTCTTAATTGTAAAATGAAGATAATAAATACTCCTTTATATGGTTGTCACTAGAATTAAAGCAGGTAATATATGTAAAATCCTCAGCAAAATGCTTGGTATATAGTAAATATACTTAAAAAAAAAAGAGAACTATTATTATTAGAATGTGTTTAGTGCCCTAGCTGTAAAGTTGAAAGGGAAAACTCATCCTTCTAGTTGGGATGATCAAGCTTCCTTCTTAAAGAAAGTGAACAGAATTCCAAATAGTTGAAGATGGGTAAAGAGCGTTTCTCAGCAGAGGGAATGGCATAAGCAAAATGGGAAAGCATACCATATTTGGGGAAAAGGTAAGTACTTTAGGGATAGTCTTAAATGTTCTCCATGATTCTATAAATAATGGGGCAGGTAATTACTTTTCCTCAGGGAATACCATTTGAAAAGAAACCATTGAGAAGGCACTGAGTATAAGGCCAAATCATTCCTCTGATGAGAACTAAAAAATCACTAATCAAAAATTTCAATAATTCAGTAATTTTTTTGGAAATACTTGTTAAAATATTTTATTTATCCAGTTGGCAATGCACATTTCCTGATCTTGCAGCCAGGGAGGCTTCCTGCTACTTATATCAGAAGTTTACTAGAGTTAAATGAATACCTTCAGCATGGCTTGATGGTCAGCAATGATTCTGGCATTCTCCATTCTAACAGTCTGAAGCATGCTGCTCAGCTCTGAACACTTGCTAGTCAGCTGGTCATTCAAAACCTAAGACAATATATACAGCAAGATATAGATCTCTATAATAAGTAATAATTATTGTCACTTATATATCACTATTTTCAATGATTGTATAGTATTTCATTATATATGTGGACCTAATTTATTTAACCTTTCCCCAATTGATATTCCATCAGTTTATACAATATTTTCAAATATTTGAAGTCAACACCCTAATAATTCTAAATTAAGAGGAGACATTTGTTGATTTCGTGGAGCAACTGAGGCATTCAGCAGTTTACTGACAATTTTGAACACTGGTCAATTAGAGCAAGCCATCTGCAGGATAAGAATTTACACTGTAGGTGCTTAGCCAATATCAGAGAAATCCACTCCCATGATTTGATGATGAGCATTTCAAAGTGTTTAGCTGATAACACAAAATAGCTAAGCTCCTTCACCACCAATCACAGTATTCATAAAAGCAAATTACAGACGACTGTACAATTTCACAAGGTTAATCTGTCAAAATAAAACAAAAATCTTTTTTTGCTACAGGGCTATCTTACCTATAGCTAGTTAATAATTCTATTGTCCTTTCAATATTTTGAAATTTTTATTCCTGTGAAAAATATCTTTATCAGTTATTTTTGCAAGGTAGATTTGACAAGGATCTTATGTCTCAATGACAAGTTCTTCAAGTATAGGGGCAAATAACTTTGAAGAAGCAATGAAAAAAAAAAAAATGGTAAATAAAATAAAATGAAAAAAATTACGTGACAAGCATCGTAAGAGGTAGTTGGACACATTCAGGGACAGTTTAAACTTATAACCAGATATACAAACTATTCATCAAGGAATATCTAGAGGTGGGGCAGAGGAGAACTTTTGCTCCTTGAAAAGAAATAGTTAATATTCTTTGGAGCCCGATTACCTGGGCTCAAATTCTGACTCTACCACTTAGTAGCTATGTTATTGAACCTCTCTGTATATCAGTTTCCTTAACTTTAAAATGAAAATAATAATAGTTTTCATTTCAGTGTTACTGTGAAGATTACAGTGTGTTAGTAATATAAAAAAAAAAACCCAAACCTGTTGCTGTCGAGTCAATTCTGACTCATAGTGACCCTATAGCAAAAGAATTATGTTTCATTCTGTTGTATATAGGGTCACTATAAGTAGCAACCAACTCGACGGCACATGACAGCAACAACAGCATTGTGCGTGGAATATAGAAAGGATACAGTAAACGTTAACTACTATTAGTGTGGTAAGAGCAGTAATAGTTATTGTTATTACTGTTTTATAAAGGAATATATTTATTTTTTATTTTCTTTATCACAGAGCACAGCAATATTATGATCCTAGCACTGAAGTAATCAAATTGTACTAACAGAAAAGTACTTTTAAATGATAAACACTAATTCACTGTGACCCATAATAAATTTCCAGTTTGTCTGCGTATTTGGTGACTCTTCTCCAAATACATATACATATATATAAAACATCAGCAAATTTGGAAACAGCCATCCCACAGAAGATGATTAAATATAACTCCAAAATCCAGCAAACATTTATTAGGTTCCTACAATGCTATTTGCTATAGAAGACACAAACAAAGTATAAGAAATAGCCCTTGCCATTGAACTGCTTAGAAGTTAGTCAGGGGAAAAAAGGTATATATTTAATAAGTAAATCAGAGAGCAAACAAAGGCAAAGTGTAAGCTAATGCATGATTTAATGGTGTAACTTATATACTGCCATGTCATACAAATTTAGAGAGTGAAACGAGGAATGTTATTTAATTTGATAATGCTTCATAGATGAAGCAGATCTTATAGAAATAAAAAATTTGGATAATGGAGATGGTATAAACTTACAGAATCAGGATTAATGTTGGTTCCTGGGCTTTTTAATCAGGCAAAATTAAGTAACATCTGAAAACTAGAGAAATGAAGATTTACCCGTGCTTTTTCTGCTGATTCATGAAGAGATATTACTTCAGATCTCAAATATGCATTTTCTTCGAGTCCCTTGTTGAAATACATCTGTACCTTCTATAAGAAAAAAGTAAGAATTTCTCTCTGTTGATAGGTTAGCAGAGATATTACGTGTATCTCTGTCAAACTACCTGTTCTGTTTTTTGGCCAGTACCAATTCAGGTTCTAATGATACACATAGATAAGTGTCTTATAAGGTATTAAAATCTTGATATCTTAAACTCCTAAACTTCTCTTAATTTGTAAATTATTTATCAAAACTGATCATTAAATTTATCTAGTCTTATATTTTTCTCAACTAGAACAAATTTGTCTAATATCCTGAGCTAAATATTTACCTAATATATTTAAATCAAGAAAGTTCTACTCTCTAAGATGGAATATTTATTTTATATTACATATGTAAGTTTTCCTATTAGTAGTAAGATCTTATGATTTCAAAGAAACACATTCAAGGATCTTTAAAAGTTATAACTGGTGAAGGTATTTGTATCAAGGTATACCTGGCGGTGGAGCAGAGATGTTGTCTTCTGCTCCATCTCTGCTCCTTGAAAAGAAATAGCTACTTCTCTCTGAGATGGGAGAAGGGTGGTGGGGCTGTGGGCTGTGGGTTGTGCTTTCTGTAACAAATACTTAGTGGAATAGGCAGGATAAGGTGTAAGCCCTATAAAGAGGGAACCACTTTTCTGTTTTCCCAGGAGAAACATCTCACGAAAGGTAAACATCACATAACAAAGGAGAACACGTATCTAGAAAAACTATTCCAAACAGGATCTACATATCAAGAGACTCATTCAGAAATGTAATAAGGTATAAAAGTAGTTATGTTTCTTACATTTCATAAAACAGTTTCTTTAGTTTATTACAATTAGTTTGCAACAGGCATAAAATACAAGTCTCATTATTTTTGCCAGTTCACTTTTTCAAACTATAATAACCTGCATGAGATGATTTATTTCCTATATATCCAGTTGACAACAGTCCTAAATATATAACTCAGGTACACTGAAATTTTTTTTTATAAAGTCTTTAAAAGAATGAGAAGAACTGTAAACCAACACAGAAAAAGAAAATCTTACTTAGTAAAGCGAGGAAGGAAAACCTCTGAACTCTGCAACCTCAAAACTTACCTTGTTTTCTTCAACCAACTTGGAAATGAGGTCATCTCTAGAAACTAAAAACAAAAAATCCACATAACTATGAAAATAACTTACTACATTGAAATCACGCAGCATTTTTTTCCCTGAGGAGCTTTATTTTTTAGTCTATATTATGCAGAAATAGGGAGAGCTCAAATATTTCTATCATATTTTGATAGACTGAAGACTAGGTTATGGAATTATCAAGAAACTAGTCCATAGTCACATGCGACGGTAAACAAGGTAACATTTTACCCTATGTGTACAAGATGGGGGTCTCTAGGGGGATTTTAAGCAGGGGAGGGTCACAAACAAAAGTTTTTTGTTAGAGAGATCTTTCTAGCAGAGAAGTTCCATGAAGCAGGAAGTTGAGTTTGGTAGCTGTTGCAGTAGCCGAAGGGGGAAACAATGAGGGCTGGGTCTAAGGTAATGACAATGGGGCTGCAGAGGAAAAATAAATTCGTAAAATATTAAGCAGGGAGGACTGTCAGGACTTGGTGGCTGACTGGTGAGGAAAAGGTGTTGACTCAAGGAAAACACCTAGCATTCAGACTTGGGCAGCAGCATGAATGGTGGACTCTTCAGCTGATTAGGGAATACAGGTCAAAGAGCAGATTTGAGGGATAGAATGAGGGAAACAGTTTTTTCATCATGTGTTTTAAAGTATCAGCAGGACATCCAAACAGCATGTTTAGTTGGAGTTCAGGAGGATGATTTCATGTGGAAAAAGATATTTAAAACTAGAAAGTATGTAGTGTGAAAAGAAAATCAAAGACAGAAAACCGGGGAACTGTTTGGCATTCTGTGCAGTAGCCAAAAGATGAAAACTTTTCTGAGAGTAATGTTTTGGCTTCACAGAAAAATTCATAAAGACCTATTTTGTTTCACTTAAATATTCTAAAACCAGAAAATTACAAAACACATTAAAAAAACCTAACTTTTTAATATAGGGTACATCTTAGGAAAAAAACTATACTTTTTGAACACATGAGTCCAAGACTCATTCCAATTAGAGTAAATTCTAATTTGAAATAAGCAAAGGATCAAAAAGATAAACTATATGGCCTATTTTAAAAAGTCCACTAATCTGAAAATGAAAGAGGAGTGTTTAACTTACTCGAGAGAACAATTTATTCACTTTAATTAATATATATCTGGTTTATTGTTAAAAGAAATAATTGTTAAACAATTAAATTTTTTTAATGAAGCAAATATCTAAAGGTACTCCTTTTATTAAGCTAGTTACAATAAATATTTATACTTTAAAATAATGAAATTGCACATATATAAAGAGCCTATAATTCAATATTAAACATATAGTAGGTATTCAGATAGGCCTCCTTCTCCTCATGTTGGTTTGGATTACCGTGGTTTTAATCTTCATTTTTAAATGGTCTTTCATATGTTCTTTGCAAAATTCAAAAAATAAAGCATTAACCTAATGAAAAAGTAACATTAAAAACTCAATCAGAGGGACAACTAATAGAATAGAAGGATCTGTGTGTCAGTCCCACCTATCCTATTTGTTCTGGGTCCTTGGGCAGTCCTGCTAGATATTTTTACTCTTCTGTAGAACGGGTATATCGTTCTCACAAGGTTGTTGCAAGGCTCAAATGAGATAATCTGGAAGCACTGTAAAATGTAGCTTATTATTTTTACAACTACACAATCACAGAAGAAAAAACAATTATCTTGTGATACTGCCAGTGAGAACTGCACATAGGAATTCACTACCCAACAGCTACAAAGAAAAAGAGTACTTTCTACTAAAAGAGGAAGTCAAAACATCAATTAAGATTACTCTTTGCTCTATAATTTTTATAATTTTATTTCTCTTTTGGTATTTCCTGACTCCATTACAGCCGCAGAGTAGAGAAGATGTACTGGAAAGAACACTGGGCTTAGAGTTAGAAGATCCAGGTTCAGGCTCAGTTCATCACTTATTCATTTTGTGGCTTTGGGAAGTAAATGTGATAATTTATGTGAAAGCTCTACGTAACCCAGGAAGTGCTATTCACACATGAGGCACTGCACTGTAATTCTTTGTAGTCTTTGAATCAGTCTTTGGGTCTTTAAGACTGACTATCTGGAAACTGCTTTACAATTACACATTAACAACAGTAGGATGAAAAAGAGCTGGTGGGTTGGAAGCAGCATGAATTAAGAAACCGGGGATCAAACCTAGACTCTTCCATTCCCTAGCTCTGTGACCTCTGAGTCTTCTGAATACTCATCTGTGAAATGAGATTAATTTAAACTCCCTCTGGGTACCTTACACCCATCAATTGATACAAATATAAGTTAACTGGAATACATTGATAACCCGTCAAGAATGGGGAATCTGACATAATAAATGGTTAGAATCAGTAGGTTAGCAAGGATAAATATCCTTATACACTTATTAACACTATTATCCAACATTAAATCTAGGTTTTTAGGAAATCAAATAGTCCCAAGTCCACAAACACTTAAGCTAAATATCCCCCCTAAAAAACTAAATAAAAAATAGTTCATAATTAAGAGGGTCAAATTTTATTTATTACCAACATTCTTGTTTTTTCTTCAGTATCATAGGAAGAAAAGAAATTAGCAAGTTTTTACATTCAGGACTATGGGAAATACGGGTAAGAATTCCCACTTCAAGAATTTGGGCCTCAAGAGTTTTTGCATGAAATCCCAAAGAACTAAAAAAAGTATGATTTCTAGCATTTATTTCCATACTTAGATCACACTTGAGCTGTGAGGTAGCAGCTTCCAACTCTTCTTTTCTTTGTTGCTCCTGTACCATTAGTGCTTGGGTAGTCTGTATAGAATTTTGTAGGGCAATGCAGTTTTCCTGCAAAATTTGCACCTGAAATTGTACAAGAAAAGTTCCTTTTCTGTAAGGTAAAGATTTCTAATAAACTACCCTATTGCACATGTGCAAGGGAGAATTTGCAATCTTAATGTCACTTGGGGAAAAAGCAGAGTTTGTATGCTACAGTTAAAGATCTCAACAGAGTGCAGTGTCTATAGCAGAACTGTCCAATAGAACTTTCAGTGCACTCTCCAACGCAGCAGTCACTAGCTGCATGTGACTACTGAGCACTTGGAACGTGGCTAGAATGACAGAGAAACTGAATCTTTAATTATATTTAATTTTAATTAATTTAAATTTAGATAGTTATATGTGGCTAGGGCTACCACATTGAAAAGTGCTGGTTAGAGCAATAAAGGATCCTTTGCAAATTCCTAACATGCATTCCTTTTTTATAATTCTATTGTGAAGAATAGCTATTGGTTAAAATGATAAGATTATGGAATAGCTATTGGAGTTTGAAATAATTGCCTTGGGCACACAGAATTTAAAATATTCTAAGTTACATGTAAATATAATTTATGTGAAAGCTCTGTGTAACCCAGGAAGTGCTATTCACACATGAGGCATTACACTGTAATTCTTTGCGGTCTTTGAATCAGTCTCTGAGTCTTTGAGATTGACTATCTGTCTCAAACTAACTCATACTAACAACTATGATAAAGGCAAAAATATTGTGCTAAATAAATGAGAATCGAAAACAGCAGTGTGAACACATTGCTGATTATTTTACTTACTGCTCTCCTTTGTTTCAAACGTTACTCAGTTTGGGCTTTGTTTTCTATCTACATCATATATGTATAACACAAGACCAGGGCAATACTTTCCAAAATCAATGCCTGTAACAGAGAGTGTATGGTATACGGAAAAGGATACTGTTCCAAGAGCCAAGAGTTCACCTCTATAAAGCTTGAGACAAATTAGTCTCTCTGGTCTTTGGCTTTCTCATTCAGAAATTAATAGGGTTAGACTGAAATGATATTAAGGTCCTCTCTTATTTTGTACTTTTTAAAAAAATTGTAAGTGTTAAAAGAGGATTACTAAATGAAAGAAGTAAGTAATTTGTGAAATTATAAACTTACAGGCAAAATATCAGTTTTCCTTTTTTTGCTTTCACTTCCCTAACATAAAACAAGGAGAGAAAATCTTGCTACCTGTTTCCGTTCCACTTCCACTGTTGATTCCATTTCTTGTATTTTGAGTAGCATGTCTGATCCAGATTTCTCAAGAGACTCCCTTAGGTGCTTCTCCTGAGACAGCTGTCTCCTTAGCTACAGAGCAACACTGCAGTTAGGCAAGACCAACTGAATATCATACCCGTTTAAGAAAGATCAGTCACCATGAAACATTTATCAGACACTGTTATCTCACCCCCACACATTCTTCATTCTTTTATAACTATTCAGAAACATGCTTTGTTTTTCCCTAATGGATACCCTTCTAAGAAATGTAGAGTTGAATTTGTTGCCCTTATCTACCTTTTGAATGTTTTACAAATGTGCAACAACACCCATTAGTAAGTTGCAAGAAGCACTTGAAAAAAAAAAAGTAGAATAGAATAGGAAAAAAATAACCAGAATGCATAGCAAGAACTGAGGGTAAAGTTTCATGAAACATTTGTATATATGTATGTATATATGAAGGAGCCTGGTGGCACAATGGTTAAGCACTTGGCTGCTAATAAAAAGGTTGGCAGTTCGAACTCTGTGGAGGAAAAGACCTGGTGACCTGCTTCTGCAAAGCTTTCAGCCTAGGAAACACTATGGGGCAGTTCTACTCTGTCCTATAGGGTTGCTATGATTCGGAATTGACTCGAAGGCACACAACAACAATAACATGTATGTGTGTATGATGTTGCAGGGTAAAATATGTGTTGTCCAAAAAAAGTTTGGCAAACACTAGTATAGTAACCTTATTGTATGTAGTTTCTGTATTAATTTTGGCCTTAATTTTTTACTGTTATGTTTCTTTATCTTGATTTCTTCATCTATATATTTTTTATTCCATACTAGTATAAGTATACCTCTAAAAGATGTTTCAATTCTGTTTTGGAATTTAAAGCTCTAAGCAAATTATGAAGTAACTGCTAAGTAGCATACAAAACTGACACTCAAGAATTTGGGTACAATGACCTTAAATCTGTCAGTGAATCAGATAAAGATATAAAAAGGTTGAGTCTCTTTTACCATGAGGTAGAAACATCCTTTACAACTTAGATGGGAGTTTCATAATGCAGTTCTTTTATCAAGTGATGTAAAACTGAAAGAAATTCTGTTTCTAAACCCAGGTGATGATTACATAAGTGTATAGTTTATTCTCCAAATTGTACACGTTTATATGTGTTTTCTGTATAGATGGTGTATTTTATAATTTTTAAAAAGTTTAAAAAACGTTTAAAGGGGTGAAAATGTGTTTGAGATTAAATCATTGCAAGATAGCTCATTTTGGAAATGCTGTATAATTTCCTTAGCCATATCCCTAATATTAGACATTTAGGTATTTCCAACTTTTTACTATTAAAAATACTGGAAAACACAAAAACATGGAAATTAAACAACACACTATTAAACTACCAATAAGGAGGAAATCAAAAGATAAATCACAAATTTCCTAGAGTCAAATGAAAATGAAAGTACAACATAGAAAAACTTGTGGGATATGGCGAAGGAATACTCAGAAAGAAATGTAGAACAATAAATGCATACATGAAAAAGAAGACATCTCAAATCAACAGCCTAACTTGACAATGCCAGGAACTAGAAAGAGAAGAACAAACTAAGCCTAAAGCTACTAGAAGAAAGAAAATAATGAATATCAGAGCATAAATAAATAAAATTGAAAACAGAAAAATAGAGAGAATCAATAAAACAGAAGCTGGTTCTCTGAAAAGATCAATAAAATGGACAAACCTTTAGCTAGACTGATAAAGAAAAGAAAAGATGCAAATAAGCAAAATAAAAAATGAAAGAGGGGACATTACAACTGGCCTGATAGAAATAAAGAGAATTATGACAGAATACTATGAACAACTGTATGGCAACAAACTGAATAACCTAGAAGAAATGGACAAATTCTTAGAAGCACACAACCTACCCCAACTGACTCAAGAAGAAATAGAAAGTCTCAACAGACTGATAACAAGTAAAGAGATCAAATTAGTGATCAAAAAACTCCCAAGAAAAACTCCTGGACCAGTGGCTTCACTGGGGAATTCTACCAAACATTTAGAGAAGAATTGACACAATCCTGTTTAAACTCTTCCAAAAGATAGAGGAGAAAGGAATATTCTCTAATTCACTCTATGAAGCAAACATAACCCTGATATGAAAGCCAGACAAAGACATCACAAGAAAAGAATACTACAGGCCAATAACTCTTATGAATACGGAAGCAAAAATCCTCAACAAAATACTAGTGAACAGAATCCAACAGCATATTAAAAGAGTCATACACCATGACCAAGTGAGATTTATTCCTGGAGTGCAGGGATGGTTCAACATTCGAAAATCAACATAATACACCAATAGAACAAAGTACAAGAACCACATGATCATCTCTATGGATGCAGAAAAATAATTTGATAAAATCCAACAGTCTTTCTGGATGAAAACCCTAAAGAAGACTGCGATAGAGGGGAAATTCCTCAATAAGATTTAGGGCATATGTGAAAGGCCAACAGCCAACATTATACTTAATGGAGAAAGAATGAGAGCTTTCCCCTTGAAATCAGGAACAAGACAAGAGTGCCTACTCTCACCACTTCTATTCAATATTGTTTTAAAAGTCCTAGCTAGAGCAATAAGACCAAAAAAAAAAAAAAAAAAAGAAATTAAAAGGTATCTATATCGGAAAGGAAGAAGTAAAATTATCTCTATTCACAGATGATATGATCCTATATATAGAAAATCCCACAGAGTCAGCAAGGAAACTTCTTAAACTAATAGAAGAATTTAGCAAAGTTACAGGGTACAAAGTCAACAAACAAAAATCAGTTGGGTTTCTATACACCATCAATGATAAATATGAAAGGGAAATTAGGGAAACAATTCCATTTACAATAGTACCTAAGAAATAAAATACCTAGGAATAAACTGAATCAGGGACGTGAAGGACTTATACAGTGAAAATTATAAAGCACTGCTGAGATAGATTAAGGAAGACTTCAATAAATGGAAAGACATTCTGTGTTCTTGGGTTAGAAGACTTGATATTGTTATAACGTCAATACTACCCAAAGCAATCTGTGGATTCAACGCAATCCCAATCAAAATTCCAATAGCCTTCTTTACACAAATGGAAAAATTCTCAACTTTATGTGGAATGGCAAGAGGCCCCGAACAGCTAAAGCAATGTTGAAAGAGAAGAATAAAGTAGGAGGACTCACACTTCTTGATTTTAAAACATATTATACAGCCATGGTAGTCAAAACAGCCTGGTGCTGGTATAACAATAGACACATAAACCAATGGAATAGAATAGCGAGTTCAGAAATAAACCCACACATCTATGGTCAACTGATTTTGACAAGGTGCTAAATCCACTTGATGGGGAAAAGAAGAGTCTCTTCAAAAAATGGTGTTGGGAAAACTGGATTTCCACATGCAGAAAAATGAAACAGGATCCATGCCTCACACCATACACAAAAACACATTCAAAATGGATTGAGGACCTAAATGTGCAAACTAAAACCATAAAATTCTTAGAAGAACAAGCAGGGGCAAGGCTGTCAGGCCTAGCTTTCAACAATAGATTATCTAATATAATAACAAAAGGACAAACAGCAAAATACAAAATAAATAAGTGGAACCCCATAAAAATTAAAAATTTTTGTTCATCAAAAGACTTTACCAAAAAAGTGAAAAGAAAAGCTACCGACTAGGAGAGTATCTTTGGAATCCATATATCTGTTAAGAATCAAATAACCCAAATATATGTAAAACTTCAACAACTTAACAACAAAAAGACAACCCAATCATAAAATGCACAAAGGACTCGAATAGACATTTCACCACAGAGGACATCCAAATGGCCACCAAACACATGAAAAGATGTGCAACATCATTAGCTGTCAGAGAGATGCAAATCAAAACCACAATGAGACACCATTTCACTCCCACTAGTCGCTATGAGTCAGAATCGACTCAACGGCAACGGGTTTATGGAGGATGGCTAAAATAGAAAAAAAAAACAGAAAATAACAAATGTTGGCGAGGATGTGGGGATACTGGAACCCTTATCCACTGTTGGTGGGAATGCAAAATGGTACAGCTGCTGTAGAAAACAGTATGGTGGATCCTCAAAAAACTATGAATAGAACTACCATATAGTTCAGCAATTCCACTCCTAGATACATACCCAAAAGACTTGAAAGCAGAGACTCAAACACCAATGTTCACTGCACTATTCACAATAGCCAAAAACAACCTAAATGACCATCAACAGATGAACGGATAAACAAAATGTGGTACATACGTGTACATACAATGGAATACTACTCAGCCAGTAGAAGAAACAAAGTCTTGATACATGGTACAATATGGATGGAGCTTGAAGACATGCTGAGTAAAATAAGTTAATCAGAAAAGGACAAATATTGTATGGCCTCACTTATATTAAAAGATAAGAAAAGGCAAAAGTATAGAGACCAAAGTTTATTAGTGATTACCAGGGGTGGGAGGGAGGGGGAAAGGGGGAGATAATGGTGATAGAAAAATCATATTTGATTAAGGGTAGGGTTATACAGCCGACTATTGCAATTGCTGTCAATATGTTGTACACCTGTAAAAAGTTGAACTGGCAAAAGTAGTGTGAAAGCTATATTTACAACAACAACAACAGAGTAGCTGCTGAGACTGCTTATGTACAACCAAAAATCTCATGGGATTTGGTTCCTTGGTTTGGAGGTTTAGGGTTATGGTTTCATGGGACGTCCCAGTTAATTGGCCTAATAACATGTTTAGTGCTTCTGTTCTACCTCCTAGTTTGCTGTGTAGTGCCTGGGGTCTTAAAAGCTTACAATCGGCCATCCAGGGTACAACAATTGGTCTCTATTTCACCTGGAGCAAGAGAGGAAGAAGGAGAATCAGGAATAGGAGGAAGATATTGAATGTGTGGCTAAATTGCCTCCATAAACAACTGCCTCCTTTGCCATGAGACCAGAAGAACTGGATGATGCCTGACTATCACTACTGAATGTTTTGATCAAAGATTCTATAGAAGAATCCTGATCAAAAAGGAAAAATGCAGAATAGAATTTCAAATTCTCATGAAATCCAGACTTCCTGGAGCCATGGGGGCTGTGATGAACCTCTGAAACTATTGCCCTGAGATTATATTTAAAACTTAAACCAAAAATATCCCTGAAGTCTTCTTAAAACCAAATGATAGTTTAGCTTAGCTAGTAAAGAATGTCTGCATTGAGTATTATGCTCTTTTAAGATCTATACCTCTGTGGGATCAAACTGACAACAGCAACTCAAAAAATCAGATAGGATTCCTAAGGGGGCAGTGAGTTTATGTTACTGGGGAAGGAATAACTCAGAAACGAAGGGTGAGAATGGCTGCACAACTCAAAGAATGTAATCAATATCACTGAATTGTACATTTAGAAATGATAGAATCGGTGTGTTTTGCTGTGTATATTCTCAACAACAAAATATATTAAAAAAAATACTGTTCTGCTGAACATGCTTGTGAATACACCTTTCACTGACTTTCTGATTATTTCCTTAGAATAAATTCCTAGAAAAGGAATCATTAAAGGTACAAACATTTTTTAGACTCTGAATATATATTGTAATTTTACTTCCAATTTTACCTTCCTGTGAGCAGTGTTTGAATAAATCACATCAACATTAAGTATTCTCATTTTCTAAATGTTTATTATTTTAATAATGAAAAATAACATCTGTTTGCATTTCTTTGATTACTAGTGAGATTAAACATTTTTAATAAGGCTATTAACTATATATTTCTTTTCTGAACTGTTGGTTTTCATCCTTTGCCCATTGTTCTATAATTTTTTTAAAATCAATTTTTAGGTCTTTATAAAGGAAGATTATTAACTCCTCGTCTAGTTTTGTTATAACGTTTTATTAGTTTGTCTTTTTGCTTATTTTTTTATATGTAGAAGTTTTCAATTCTTATGTGGTCAAATCAATTGAGATTTTAAAGATTTTGTTCATTCCTTTCAAACTTAAAAATTCCTTTTTCATATAATGATCAGTTAAATATTATACTCTTAAGTAAGCGTGAGCCATAGTTTTCCTTTTTGGTTATATTTTTCAGGTTTTAATACATGATTATAATTACTTTATAACATAGGGATTACTTTAAGTTACTTTCTAGATATAAACTTGTTCCTTCCTAATATTCAAGTAAAGCTAATGCTTCAGGGAGATATATCACATGTATTTTGTCCTTGAACAGCTGTCCCCCTTCTACACACCCTCTAACTTCCCTGCCCCACCACCCTCCTCCTCCAGCTTTGACTAGTACAGTCCTTCTGCAGGTCCTTGACAGTGTTCAGTGAAAACTCAATATTTTATCACAGCACCAAGAATTCTACATAAAAGAATTTTCCAGGTAGCAAAGCTTACCATCTTAAGCACTTAGGTTTATAAATTTTTAAAATAATTTTGTATGAGAAATTTCCTAAAACATACATCTACTTCTGTGTCCTGTATAACAATCTTTTAAGCATAATTTGACCCTTTTGATTTGTGCTAACATCTATAATTATTCTGTAAGGGAATACTGAGGTTTTTAGGCCATTTATCAGGATACATTGAGTTAGTAAGTCTTCTGACTCATTGTTTTCAACAGAGAATTTTTAGTGTAACAGTTTTTAGCAGCCACCTATTTCATAATTCCCAATCTGTTATATACTAAAAGTTAGGCTGAAAAGAAGGTTTCAAGGTAAAATTAGATGACCAGGTTTATTAAAAGCTTTTTATTTTAAATGCAGCTTTAGATTAAAAGGCTTTTGCATGAAGGTGCCCACTTGACTCTAGCATATGGGAAACTGTAGGAATTTTGTGATAACTATTTCCATCCTTGCTCAAAGACCATTTGTTTTTTTATTTCCAGTTTTATGGCAGTATGGAGACGAAAGGATGTCTTGTTTCACTAGAATTTCCTACTACACAGTCACATATTTTCTTCTTCTTCAAAGGCTTCTTTTCATTCTCTCTTTTCTACTTTCTTGACTTCCCTTCTGCAATTCCACCCCCTACCGCCCCATGGCATCTTTTTGTCTTACCTCCTGAATTTTAAGGTTCATTTTACGTTTTGTGGTCTTCAGTTCCTCCTCAATAATAGCTGCATTCTTCTAAAAGTAGAAGGAGAAAAGCTTCTAAATCATCTAAAATGACAGGAAGAAAATGTCTATAGGTATATCATTTCAAACCTAGGTTGTTTTCTGCCAACCTATAAATGCTATTTTGAATACAATTATAAATACTTCTTATCATAGGTCTGAAGTAGTTGTTACAATGAGATACTTAAAAAGAAATACCTATTTTATTACCTTTATCCGTGACTTCTATCATTTCTCTTTTTAGATAATAAAAAATAATTAGTCTCACCCAGCTCCTATGTAAAATTCAATAATCAGAGAAAATCTCCTGGGTAATGGATAGATCATTTTTTCTTGTAGGGTCTATTTTTTTAAGAACTCTATATTTCTTCTAGCTTCAAATATTATCCATGTTTAGGAGTTAAGATGAAAAACACAGCTTCCACTATTTATTCCTCTATTTTTATTATTATTAATAGATGTACAATTATATTAATGGATATACAATTCCAGATATAAAACCTCAAGAGTCATCTTTGCCATCTTTTCTGCCTTCAGCCCCTATCCAGTACCATATTTTATCAAGACTTTCTTCACAGAATATCCCTCTTTCCTTTCAAAATGCCATAACCATAGGACAGAATTAATAAGGCTCATGCCTCAAATAATGCAATGGATTCCTTATTGGTTTCCTTATCTCCAGTCTCTTCTCACTATAATCAGTACTCTATACTACAGCCAGATAAGTTTTCCTGTTTTCATATGTCACTTATCAGAAATCTTAATCACTTTCCATAGGATCAAGCCCAACTGCTGATTATTCTTGAGTCTGAGATCCTCCAAACAAATCCTCACCTCCTGCCAGGCTCATTTAGGCATTGCCCCCTAACTGTGCCCAGTAGAAAAGATCTAGGTTCAAATCTCAGTTACAAGAAGACAGGTATGTGTGATCTTGGACAAGTGACTTCTTTCTGGGCCCCAGTATTCTTATCATTAAAATGGGGACAATAATATCCTATTTCAAACGAAATAACATGGTCCCTAGTTTCCTTTCCTACTACTTATACTTTGATGCCTCTGTGCAACTGCTCACAGCTGTGTGTGCACCTTGAAGTGTCCTCACCTCTCCACTCTGCCTTTTTAGTGTAGCTCAAGTCCTAGGTATCTGGATAGGGCATCCTCGCCCTCTCAAAGCCATCTGAATTCAAAGCATTTATACTGCAATATTCACTGGTTGTCATATAACATTTGCTATACCCTTATTTTTTTCTATTTAATTTTTTATGCTATGTCTTGTTCTCCCAAATAGCATATAAGCTCTTTAAGAGCATAGACTCTACCTATACCTCTGGACCCTATCAGTCACGTGTACAGGCTAAGTGTTCTATAAATACCTGAACTATCACTGATGGTACATAGTAGTTTAGGCTGTCAATGCAGAACAATTTCAAATACCAAGAATCCTCACACCAACATCGCCTATTTTTTAAAAGTCAGTTTTATAGGTCTGTTGCCTCCTCCAGCTAACACTTGACCATGAATTTCTACTTGAGAATTCTGATCTCAAACCTTTGTCTCTGATGCAATCTCCAGTGTGGCAGTCAACCTTTGCACTTCATTTTGTGCCCTGTCTTCTTCCTCTTTTACAACTTTCAGTTGCCGGCGCAAATTCATCACTTCAAGATGTAACAGATTCAGGTCCCTGGAATGCTCCTCCTGTATTGAATTCAGCCGATCCTTCAGAAAAGCTACCAGACAGCACAGGAGGGTCATCAAGCATTGTTTCCCAGAAAAGAAGCAATCGAAAGAAGGCCAGGAAAGGAAAAGAATCATAAACTCATCAATCACTCACAAAGGACCAAATTTCATGATTTTCTTCTCTCTGTACCTGTTTTCTGTGGATTCAAATCCTTTTCAGTTTGCAGACGGAAGATGTTCATCTTCAAGGACTGGATAAGGCTTTCCAGGCGGCACATTCGGTTTACCAGAAATTCACAATTCTCCCATATCATATTTGTTTTTCCTGAACAAACTGTTTCATTCTGGATAGGACTAATGGCTTTCTGGCCCAAAGGGTCTTCTACACAGTTTGGAGCTTCCAGTTGGCCTCTAAACAAAGATTCCCAATACAGCAATATGATGTAATGTAATGTGTACTGTGGTAATTCCAACCATAAAAATTAGGTTCCTTAGTTAACAAGCATCTATTTGCACCTCCAAATTTAAATATAGAGAATACCATTAGGTAGAGGATGAGAGTAACGTGAGATGAATAAAGATTAATGACTTATTAATGGTTGTTTATTTTAATCTGAAATTTTGTCAACATTTTTTGTATATAAAAACAAATGATACATAAAAGACATGTTAAATGCTATTTCTATAAAGGTGAACTAAGAAATGAAGTTAGCAATGGAGGCAATATATTCACATTTTAAGAAAATTTTTAAACAAAGTCATAGTAAACATTCCAATTTTCTTGTCGACATACTCAATATTTGTACTAAACTTAACGCTTAACTGCTAAAAAGTTATCTATCTCAAAGGTACTATAATACTAACTCCCCACAGGTCTGTCAGTTTGTTGAACTGTGGTGGCTTGCATGTTGCTGTGATGCTGGAAGCTATGCCACCAGTATTTCTAATAGCAGCAGGGTCACCCATGGTGGAAAGGTTTCAGCTGAGCTTCCACACTAAGACTAGGAAGAAGGACCTGGCAGTCTACGTCTGAAAAAGTTAGCCAGTGAAAACCTTATGAATAGCAATGGAACACGGTCTTATACAGTGCCAGAAGACGAGCCCCTCAGGTTGGAAGGCACTCAAAATATGACTGGGGAAGAGCTGCCTCCTCAGAGTAGAATTGACCTTAATGACACTGATAGAGTCAAGCTTTTGGGACATTCATTTGCTGATGTGGCACAACTCAAAATGAGAAGAAACAGCTGCAAATATCTATTAATAATAGGATTGTGGAATGTACAAAGTATGAATCTAGGAAAATTTGAAGTCATCAAAAATGAAATGAATGCATAAAGATGGATATCCTAGGCATAAGTGAGTTGAAATGGACTGGTATTGGCCATTTTGAATCAGACAATCATATGGTATACTATGCTGGGAATGTCAAATTGAAGAGGAATGGTGTTGCATTCATCATTCAAAAGAACATTTCAAGATCTATCCTGAAATACAATGCTGTCAGTGATAGGATAACATCCATACACCTACAAGGAAGGCCAGTTAATACGACCATTATTCAAATTTACGCACCAACCACTAATGCCAAAGACGAGGAAATTGAAGATTTTTACCAACTTATGTAGTCTGAAATTGATCAAACATGCAATCAAGATGCACTGATAATTACCAGTGATTTGAATGCGAAAGTTGGAAACAAAGAAAAAAGAACAGTAGTTGGAAAATATGGCCTTCATGATAGAAACAACACCAGAGATTGCATGATAGAATTTTGTGAAAGCAACGACTTCTTTATTGCAAATACTTTTTTTACCAACATAAATGGCAACTATACACGCGGACCTCGCCAGATGGAATAGGCAGGAATCAAACTGACTACATCTGTGGAACAAGACAAAGAAAAACCTGAATATCATCAGTCAGAACAAGGCTAGGGGCCAACTGTGGAACAGACCATCAATTGCTCCTATGCAAGTTCAAGTTCAAGCTGAAGCTGAAGAAAATTAGAACAAGTCCACAAGAGCCAAAGAATGACCTTGAGTATATTCCACCTGAATTTAAAGACCACCTCAAGCATACATATGACTCATTAAACACTAATGACCAAAGATCGGGGGAGTTGTGGAATGACATCAAGGACATCATACAGGAAGCAAGCAAGAGGTCATTAAAAAGATAGGAAAGAAAGAAAAGACCAAATTGGATGTCAGAAGAGACTCCTGAAACTTGCTTTTGAATGTAGGGTAGCTAAAGCCAAATGAAAAAATGATGAAGTAAAAGAGCTGAACAGAAGATTTTGAAAGATGACTCGAGAAGACAAATTATTAAAATGAAACATGCAAAGACCTGGGGTTAGAAAACCAAAAGGGAAGAACATGCTCAGAATTTCTCAAGCTGAAAGAACTGAAGAGAAAATTCAAGCCTCGAGTTGCAATATTGAAGGATTCTACAGAGAAAATATTAAATGATGCAGGAATCATCAAAAGAAGATAGAAGCAATACACAAAGTCACTGTACCAAAAAGAATTGGTTAATGTTCAACCATTTCAGGAGGTAGCATATGATCAAGAACCAATGGTACTAAAGGAAAAAGTCCAAGCTGCATTGAAGGCATGGCAAAAAAGAAGGCTCCAGGAATTGATGGAATACCAATTGAGATGTTTCAACAAATGGATGCAATGCTGGAGGCGCTCACTCATCTATGCTAAGAAATTTGGAAGATACCTCCCTGGACAACCGACTGGAAGAGATCCATTATTTCCAAAGAAAGGTGATCCAACAGAATGTGAAAATTATTGAACAATATCATTAATATCACATACAAGTAAAATTTTGCTGAAGATCATTCAAATGCAGTTGCAGCAGTACATCGAAACAGAACTGCCAGAAATTCAAGCAGGGTTCAGAAGAGGATGTGGAAGAAGGGATAACATTACTAATGTCAGACATATCTTGGCTGAAAGCAGAGAATACCAGAAAGATGTTTACATGTGTTTTATTGACTATGCAAAGGCATTTGACTGTGTGGATCATAACAAATTATAGATAACATTGTGAAGAATGGGAATTCCAGAGCACTTAATTGGGCTCATGCAGAACCTGTACATAGACCAAGAGGCATTTTTTCGAACAAAACAAGGGGCTACCGCGTGGTTTAAAATCAGGAAAGGTGTGCGTCAGGGTTGTATCCTTTCACCATACTTATTCAAGCCGTATGCTGAGCAAATAATCCGAGAAGATGGACTATATGAAGAAGAACACGGCATCAGGACTGGAGGAAGACTCATTACAGCCTGTCTTATGCAGATGACACAACCTTGCTTGCTGAAAGTAAAGAGGACTTGAAGCACTTACTGATGAACTTCAAAGACTACAACCTTCAGTATGGATTACACCTCAACATAAAAAAAAACAAAAATCCTCACAACTGGACCAATAAGCAACATCATGATAAATGGAGAAAATACTGTTGTCAAGGATTTCATTTTACTTGGATCCACAATCAACACCCATGGAAACAGCAGTCAAGAAATCAAACAACGCATTGCATTGGGCAAATCTACTACAAAAGACCTTTAAAGTGTTCAAAAGGAAACATGTCACTTTGAGGACTATGGTGTGCCTGACCCAAGTCATGGTGTTTTCAGTCACCTCATATGCATGCAAAAGCTGGATGATGTATAAAGAAGATGGAAGAAGAATTGATGCCTTTGTATTATGGTGTTGGCAAAGAATATTGAACATACCATGGACTGCCAGAAGAACGAACAAATCTGTCTCAGAGGAAGTATAGCCAAAAGTCTCCCTAAAAGGAAGGATGGCAAGATTTTGTCTCACATACTTTGGGCATGTTATCAGGAGGTACCAGTCCCTGGAGAAGGACATTATGCTTGGTAGAGAGTCAGTGAAAAAGAGGATCCTCAACGAGATGCATCGACACAGTGGCTACAATAGGCTCAAGCATAACAATTGTAAGGATGGTGCAGGACTGGGCAGTGTTTCGCTCTGTTGTACATAGGATCGCTATGAGTCAGAACTGACTCGACGGCACCTAACAACAACAACATAATACTAACTGGGAGCCCTGGTGGAACAGTGGTTAAAGTGCTCAGCTGCTAACCCAAAGGTTGGTGGTTTGAACCCACCAGCCGCTCTGCAGGAGAAAGATGTGGCAGTCTACTTCTGCAAAGATTTATCGCCATGAAAATCCTATGGGGCAGTTCTATTCTGCACTATTGGGTCACTTGTTATGAGTCGGAATCGACTGGACGACACTGTGTTTTGTTTTTTGGTGTAATACTAACTATACTATTTATAGGAGCCCTAGTGGCACAGTGGTTAAGCATAACGGCTACGAACCGAAAGATCAGCAGTTCGACTCTACTAGCCACTTCTTGGAAACCCTGTGGGGCAGTTCTACTCTGTCCTATAGAGTCGCTATGAGTTGGAATCGAGTTGATGGCAACGGGTTTGGTGTTTTCTTTGCGGGGGTATACTACTTACAGGTCTTAGAAAGAGACATTCAGGAAATACATATGTAATTTTAAAGATAATCACACCGATAAATTGGATATTGGCTGTTTAAAACCCACCAAAAACCACTGCCATCAAGTTGATTCTGACTCATATTGACCCCACAGGACAGAATAGAACTGCCACATAGGGTTTCCAGCGCTCTAATCTTTTTTTAATTGTGCTTTAGATGAAGGTTTACAGAGCAAATTAGTTTCTTATTAAATAATTAATACACATATTATTTTGTGACATTGGTTGCCAGCCCCACAACATGTGAACACTACCCTACTTGACCCTGGGTTCCCCATTACCAGCTTTCCTGTCCCTTCCTGCCTTCTCATCCTTGCCCCTGGACTGGTGTGCCCATTTAATCTCATTTTGTTTTATGGGCCTGTCTAATCTTTGGCTGAAGGGTGAACCTCAGGAGTTACTTCAGTACTGAGTTAAAAGGGTGTCCAGGGACCATACTCTCTCCAGGGCTGTAATCTTTATGGAAGCAAATGGACACATCTTTCTCCTGTGGAGCAGCTGGTGGGTTCAAACAACGAACCTTTTAGTTAGCAGCCAAGCACTGTAACCACTGTGCCACCAGGGCTTCTATTGGTTGTTTAAGCACTCAGATATTTCAAGCCATTGTTAATACAACTTTTAATGACAATAACTTCTTAGTACTAGCGGAAAAAAGTTCTTTTTTGAGTACTTCATTATCAATTATGAATTTTTTTTTGGACTATAAACTCTTAATTTACAATAAATCTAGAAAAAATGAAGATCAAGTTTTTGTATAAATCAACATTTTCGATTCCTTACCTTGACTAAAATCAAAGTCTATTTTTGATTTTAAAAATTATAAACAAGTTTTTTTAATCACATAAAAAAGTACTTGTTAGTTTTGAATCAAATGTTGAAGGAGACTAGAATATAAAATTCTGTACACTCAATCAACACATTAAATATCTGTTTAAGGGAATAGTGGTAGTAGATCTACTACAGGATGACAACTCTATACCTTGCAAATATTTTCTGATTAATGTCCAAATGGAAACTGTTGTTTCTCAATTCTTTTTAAAATACCTATTTCATTTGTCAACCATCCACACTGTGATTCCTTATTAATAACCAGTGAAGCAAAATTCTTTAACCTACAGAGATCTAGTTCATTTTTCATTTGTTACCTTTTATCGCTAATGTCCAACATTACTAGGTCATCCCTCAGAGCACTGGTCTGTTCCTCAACTATTCTCATCCTTTGTTGAAGTACGGTGAACGTTTCAGAAGCTGTAGCATTGATGTGGGTTGGAGAGAGGACCGGTTTGGACACTGTTGTTTCTATATTCACCTGAGGTTAAAGTCACAATATTAGGTTATATAATTGTTCAAAAGTTTCCCCACACATTCTGAATGGGATGCAGACTCTTAACCTAAAAATTTTTCATCTAATTGTTAAAAAGTCAGTTTTATTGGTTCTTCCCTAAAGTAACTATGAATAAAATGCTTACATTAACTTTACAGTGTGTGTGCACATTCAACCATAAAATCAAAATGGAAAACAACTGAAATTAAATTGCTTCATTGCTTTAAGAAAAAGTCTATGTTTGGGTAGTGTTATGGATTGAATTGTGTCCCCCTAAAATGTGTGTCAACTTGGCTAGGCCATGATTCCCATATTGTGTGATTGTCCACCATTTTGTCATATGATGTGATTTTCCTATGTGTTGTAGATCCTGTCTCTATGATGTTAATGAGGTGGGATTATCAATAGTTATGTTATGAGGCAGGACTCAATCTACAAGATTAGATTGCGTCTTGAGTCATTCTCTTTTGAGATATAAAAGAGAGAAGCGAGCAGAGAGACAGAGGGACCTCATATTACCAAGAAACAAGAGCCAGGAGAATAGCATGTATTTTGGACCCGAGGTCCCTACACTGAGAAGCTCCTTGACCAGGCAAGATTGATTACAAGGACTTTCCCCCAGAACTGACAGAGAGAGAAAGCCTTCCCCTGGAGGTGGTACCCTGACCTGAATTGAGATATCTAGCCTCTTAGACTGTGACAGGAGCCCTGGTGGTGCAGTGGTTAAGAGCTACGGCTGCTAACCAAAAAGTTGGCAGTTCAAATCTACCAGATGCTCCTTGGAAACCCTTTGGGGTGGTTCTACTCTGTCCTATAAGGTTGCTATGAGTTGGAATTGACTCAACAGCAACAGATTTGGTGTTTTTTTGTTTTTTGTTTTTAGACTGTGAGAGAATAAATTTCTCTTTGTTAAAGTCATTAACTGGTGGTATTTCTGTTATAGCAGCACCAGATAACTAAGACAGGTACGAATTTGATTTGTATCATCTCCTACTTCTACCTTATTCTGCTTTACACTGGAGATTCTCAGGCTTCCAGAAAGAAACAGACTCTTACACAAAAAGATGGAACAAATTTTGCCCGCAGTCCTTGAAGGGGTGGAGGTTTGCTCTGGTAAGCAGAAATTTCACTTTAACGTATGGTGGATGAAGGTGCCTGGGACACTGACTGATGATGGGCAGAGGATAAAGTTTTTGAGTGAGTTACATGGTGTTGTCCCTGAAATATCCTCTCAATCAGTAAGAAAATTGTTCAAGCCATCTAAGAAGAAGCTGACTCAAAAACTAAACGAGCCGCTACTCTTTGGGGATTTATTAAAAGCAGGTCTCAAGATTGGGTGAACATCCTCCCTCCTGCTCCTCCCCATGGTGGGGGGCAATGTCAAAGGAGAGCCCCTGGAAGCTAGGGAGGGGCAGTGATGCCATTCAGGCCACAAGGTGGATGAGTAGCAAGAGAGGACAACTTTTATGACCACCAGGAAAAGTCCTTATGGGACCTTTTGTTTTTAGTTTCCCTTGAGTCAGTTCCAACTCATGATGACCCCATGTGTGCAGAGTAGAACTGTGCTCCATAGGGTTTTCAATGTTGTGACCTTTTGGAAGCAGGTCATCAGGCCTGTCTTCTGAGGCACCTCTGGGTGGGCTTGAACTGCCAACATTTCAGCTTGTAGTCAAGTGCTTAACTATTTGTGCCGCCTAAGGACTGCATGTTAAATGAGTAATGGGATATAAATTCTCTCACCTACATTTTCTGCCTCTCAGGTTTCTTCGGAAGTTGCTTTCTCATTTTTAGGGCATTCTGCTGCCAGGCAGGGACCTGTATAACTGTTTGAATTGGAAGAAACAGGAGTGTGCTGCAAATTACTGTTTTTATAGTGTATTGTAAGATGTTGCATCTTGGTGTGATTGTGCAAAACTTTAATCTCTTCTGGCTTTTATACAGTTAGCTAAGCCTTGTAAGTATATTTCCAGAATCCTGTGTGTTATTTGGAAGTTGCGTTTCTTGCGATGATTCCATGTTCATGTGAATACCTCATTTTCAGGTGCCATATGTTGTATGCACCTGTCAAAGGAGCTAGAAGATGATGTAGAATCCAGAAGGACATATGTGTCCCACATAATCCTACCCCAGAGTCCAGCGGGACATAGTGCCCCACATAATATGTATCAAAATCCATACTTCATAATAAAATTTCAGAAATGCGCCTTGATTCAGCATGCCTTCTATTAATGAAAACATGGTATCAACAAAAGATTTAAAAAAAATTAATTTGTACATAAAAGGGTTAAAGGAAGACTGAGATGAAGATACAGGATTCCTGTGAATTCACTGAATTGGGACTTAGAGTCAGACAGAAATTCTCATTTTCCCTGTAGTTATACCCATGCCTGACTTTCCTCATCTGGCAGGACTAAAGCAGGTGTCACAGAAATGCCACCTCCCACATGATCCACAGGCCAATTGGTAGATTCTTATAAGCCACAGATCTAAAGCTCATACTCTTAGAAGAAAAGAATCTACCTCTAACTGCATTATTCTAGAAAGAGACTATGGCTTAAATACATTTGTCCTTGTTGTTTTTGAAAAGGAGCAAATATCAATAATGGAGCCTTGAACTTAAGTCCTGATGCTTAATAATAACAATAACAAAATTACTAAGATGTAAATTTGAATTAAAAAACAATTTCCTTCACAACTATTTTCCATAGTATATCATTATTAAACTAATACAGTTCTGTTTCTATGTTTCGGGAGAGTACGTCCAAGGAGCTCCGAGGCAAGTTACCTCCCTAAAAACGTGGCATGAATAAGACCAATGTCATATGTAATATACATTAAAAGCCACATGACTGTGAAAAAGGGAACACTTGTTTCTGTGGACAGACTCCATTTTATACCTGGGAATAGGTACAATTACATGCTGTTGGTTCAAAAATAACAAGCCAGGAGTTCAATGTTGTTATCACCATCACTGGAAAAAAAATTTGGTCAGTATGAAGCCCTGGTGGCGCAGTGGTTAAGAGTGACGGCTGCTAACCAAAAGGTGGGGAGTTCAAATCCAACATCCGCTTCTTGAAAACCCTATGGGGCAGTTCTACTCTGTCCTATGGGGTGGCTGTGAGTTGGAATCAACTCCACGGCAATGGGTTTGGTTTTCTGGTTTTAACACTGACTTCAGTCATTCACCCATTCATCCAACAAATATTTTCTGAATGCCTACCATGTGCCAGCTGCTATTCTAGGCACTGGGAAAAGCAGCAGTGAATAAAACAGGCTAAATTCCTTGCCCTCATGGAGCTTATATTCCAGTTGAGGAAGATAGATATCAACTAAAATACATAGTTTGCTCACTGGCGATAAGTGTAAAGAAAAATAGAATTGTAAAAGCATGGGAATTGTTGCTGTGGTGAAGGTTTTTGTTTTAAACAGGGAGATCAGAGAAAGCATCAGTGAAACGCTATTTGAGCAAAGACCTGTGAAGGATGTCCAGGAGTAAGCCATATGGCTATCTGGGGGCAGAGAGGTCCAGGAAGAGTGAACAGCAAGTGCAAAGGCTCTATTAGGAAAAATGCCCAACGGGTCCATGAACAGTAGAGAAGTCAGTTTGCCTGGAAAGGAACAAGTGAGGGTGAGAACAGTAGGAGTCCAAGGCAAAGGACAATAATGGGATTAGATCACATAGGGCCTTGAAGGCCGTTGTAAAGGTTTTGCTCAGTGACTTAGAGAGCCATTAGAGGCTTTAGAGCTGAGGAGTGCTGTGATCTAATTTAGGTTTTAACAGGATCACTCTGGCTGCAACTCCAGATGGTAGAGGGGCAAGGGCAGAAGTACGAAGATCAGTTAAGGGACTGCTACAATAATCCAGAGAGGAGATGCTGTTGCTTAGGATCAGGGTGACAGAAGTGGAAGTGGTAAGAAGTGGTCAGAGTCCAAGCACATTCTAAAGATAGGATTTGTTGGAAGATTACATATGAGATATAAAAGAAAGGAACAACCAAGCTTACTCTAAGCTTTTTGGCTTGAACAACTGGAAGGATGATGTTGTCATTAATTGAGACAATGGAAGTCTGTTAGGAAAAACCAGGTTTTTTTTGTGGGGGGGGAGCAAGAGTTGTTTTAAAAATGTTAAGTTTAGAATAGGAAGGATGTCCAATTGATGACTGAATTTATGGATTTGAAGTCCAGGGGAGAGGTATGGACTCGGCATATAAATTTTGAACTTGTCAGTATACGCATGACTTATAAAGCCATGACACTGAGTCCTGAGTGCTTCAAGATTAACAATTCAGGGACACAGTGTGTGGGTGTTCAATACAGACTAATTGTGAGCAACTCCTGAGTAGGGTCAAGTACTTGATCCTTTTTCCATTCCCAGAGCCTAGTAAAGTACCTGGGATATGGTGGGCAAATAAATGCTACATGTATGAAAGAAGAAAAGAACAAGGAGATAATTCAGTAAAAATTTATCAGGAGGCGGGACCAAAATGACAGAGTAGTCAGACACTTCTGGTGGACCCTCTTACAACAAACACGCAAAAAAACCAAGTGAATCGATTATATATGGCAATCTGAGAACCCTGAACATCAAAGGCAGAGGTGAGGAACTGGACTGAGTGGCAGAGGGAAGGAGAGACGGTTCAGAAGCAGCGAGGAGTTGCCAGATCTGACCCGGTGAGAGCCTGAGCCCTTCAAGCCTGATCAGTTTGGGGGTGAGCAGTGAAGCAGGCAAGCAGCTGTACTCGGGAGGCGTATTTTGCACTGGGAGAGACCCAGCGCCAGAGAGTCTATGCGGCCACCCAGAACCAGTGAGAAGCAGCCCTGGATCGGCGAAAGATAAGTACCTGCATATGGCCTACTGCATGGATCAAAAACACTCCACTTAGGGAAAAACCTCTGACCCATCTACCTCCCCACTCCTTGCTCTCTACTGGGTCCTGG